ATTTTCACAAGCGTTTTACCAATCACTAGGTCCTCTCCTGTGCAGTTGGGCATATTCACGACATTGGACCTTGGACACGTCAATGTATTGATAATAACGGAAGTGAAAGCTGCAATTTCAAGACAACGAATTTAAAGATTTTTAGGAATGCAAGCAAGATTAGCAGCGCCTATTGAAATAATTGTCAAGTTTTGTTACATATTTTGCTCTAAAGAATCGCTCTCAGTGAAGTATGACGTTTTACATAGACATTACATATTAGCCAACAATGAAAAACATTTTTTCTGCATCCGATGGAATGCAACTATGGAAACAAGCATGCTCTCTCTATTCTATTTTTCAAGATCATTCAAGTCATTTGCCACAGTAGCACATAATACTGATTTATTTGATTCAACAACCGGACATTGAATCAACATTCAATTTTGATTCAATGTTATGAGCTACTGGGGTAATTCTTCAAAAGACCGAGCACCTACTTACCTAGAGAGTTACAAAAACACAACATAATGACCGGTTCTATCAGTCGAAGAGTATTGACAAACGTTGTTACGTACAGCCGAAAAAGGACTTCGTAATAAGGAGTGCCGAGAAAATTCTGCTATTTGATTGCACAATGCATGTGAAAATGTAAGCCAATTCCTCAATGTCAAAGACAAATCCCGACCTGATGAAAGTGAGAATGTTTCCCCATTCGCCGTTCTTCGCCTTCGTCGTGCATTTCACAGTATTTCATGAAATTGTTTCCATATTATTCTGACTATACACTCAAGGCTAGGTGTTTTACTCTTTTATTTTTGCAAGAGATAGTACACCAAGAGTACTCAAGAAATAGTAATTGACCTTAGTAATTGGCCTCTATTAGTTCCTTACTATATAGCAAATGCTGAGGATCTTTGTGACTCCTTTCATGCATGTCTGCTAAAGACATATAGGGCGAAACCCGAAATTGGTATTTTTTGGTGTTCGGACGCACTCGAAAATACCAATATATTGATGCAATGCAGAGCAAGGAACCTTTTATTTATTTCATTAGGAAGAGCATGGAAAAATCTGAAAAATGAGTTAAACATCTTCGAAATAGCCCCCATAGGCAGCAATAACTTCTCTGAGGTGTTTTGTAAAATTGTCCACGGTTTCTCGCAGGTGTTTTACAGGGATTTCGTCCCATGCTTTCAACAAAGCCGCCTTGAGACTGTCCAAATTGTTATGTCAGGTAGCACTCAACTTTGCCTCTAGAAAGGACCGATAATGTAGTCCATTGGATTTAAATCAAGGAAGCAGGAGGGCCAATCTTCTGGACCAATGGAACATTACCGTGAAAAGCCAGGTTTGCCAACACTTGGAGTCCCGTTTTCTTTCTCTCGAAAGAGAATAGCTCCAGAGTGTGAAAGCGGCGGGATCCCACCTGGGGGGGATAGAACAGGCGGGGCTAATCCTTGGATCACCAGGACGCCGTCGGTCGCGTCGTTGCCATCCCGTTTCCATATTTGTATTTTTCACT